TTTTTTTTTTTTTTTTTTTTTTTTTTTTTTTGAGACAGGGTCTCACTATGTAATTGAGGCTGGCCTTGTTGAACTCACTATGTAGTTCAGGCTAGCCTTGAATTTGTGGCAATCCTCCTGCCTCGGCCTCCCAACTACAGTAGTGTGTTTTAGTTGATTGGGGCAGTGGGGCTGAGGGACTGAGGTAAGAGGAGCACAGTCAAGTCCAACCCAGGCAACTGAGCAAGTTAATGAGACCCTGTGTCAAAATAAAAATTTTTTAAAAGGGCTGGGATGCAGCTCAGTGTGAAGGCTGTGGATTTCATCCCCGATCTTTTGATGCCATTCCATTGTCTCTTTCTTTCATTGCCTGTGCTTTTGGTGTCATGTTAAAGAAGTCATTGCCAGGCCAGTCATAGCTCAGTGGCACCGCGCCTGCCTTGTAAGTTCAAGGACCTGAGTTCGATCCCCGGTGCCAAAAAATAAAAATAAAAGTAGTCATTGCTAGATCTGAGGTAGTGAAGTGTTCCTCTTATGTTTTTTTCTGAATTTCAGGTTTTAGCTTACATTTAGATTGCTGATCCACTTTGAGTTAATTTATAAGTAAGGTTCCAACTTGGTTCTTTTGTATATTGTTACACATTTCCCCCGCAACACTCGTTGGAGAGATTCCGTTCCCCATGGACTGATCTTGGAACTGTTGTTAAACATTTTTATCAGCGAATGCTTCTTTGTAGGTTTTTGTTGAAATGTGGCTTCATCATTACTCCTTGGAGATGTACCAGAAAATGCAGTCCCCTCATGCCAAGGTATGTTTCCAGTTGTTTTTCCTGTTTTCAGCTTCTGGCTCGGGTCAAATTGTTATATCTTGTTCTCAGTCTTAAGTTACTTTTCATGACCTGGGTGGTGGGAGGCAGAGCCCTAACACAAGGTGGGTATTGCTCTTTAGTGTGAGAGTCTCCTATTGAAAGGGCTGGACCCTGGGGCTTGGAGGTATGAACCGGGTCCTCCCTGTGCAGCTTTCACGGTTCTGTCTGGCAGGGAAACAGCTGAGATTCTTGTGCTCTTGCTATGGGGGTAGAGGAAGCTGCAGATACCTCTGTGAGTCACTTCTGAGTATCTTTGTGCTCTCAGGAGAGGTGGTGGCCCTGGGTGAACACCTGCCACTGTGGTGAACTGAAACACCCTCTGCCTGCCCGAGCAGGCCTCCTCAAGAGCATCAGAAGCAGCCATCTTCGTGGAGGGTGGGGCCCTCTCCTGCATGTGTCCTTCTCTTTCTCCTCTTTCTCCTCTTCCACCCTCCTCCCTTCCTCTTTACTGGCCTTTCCCCTACCTCCTTCCCTGGGCAGCAAAAGATGGACATTGCAGAGTCCCTAGAACTTCCTGATGTTGCTGTCCCTGGGCCAGGCACTCTGCTGGGTCCCTCAGGGTGAAATGGTTCTGTTCAGTTAGTAAATGGTCCATGGACACTTAGAGCCACAGTCAGATTCACATAAGGTGAAACAATTGGAATCACACCCCCGGTCTGATTCCCAAGGTACTGTCACCAGCAACACAGGCGGCTGCTGTGGCTTCTGGCATCAGTTTACTCTGTAGACTTTTTTTTTTTTCTTTTGGTGGCAGGGATTGAACTCGGGACCTTGACCTTGCCAGGCAGGCTCTGTGCCTCTGAGCTACAACCCTGACCCCTGCTCTGTAGGCTTTGATTTATCAGTGCCAGGCACAATTCTGGAGGGGGCTTCCTCAAGAATAAAGAATCTAGGGGGCCGGGGATTTAGCAGAGTGGCACCACACTGCCTTGCAAGTATAAGGTCCTGAGTTCGCTCCCGGGTATGGGGGCGGGGAATGAAGAGTCTAGCGGTTACTGGCATGGTAGCATATACCTGTGATCCAGCACTCTGGAAGGTTGGAGTGGGAGGATTGAAAGTTCGAGTAACTTAGCAACCTGGGCAAGTTAGCAAGACCTTGTCTCAAAAAAGGAGCCAGTTATAGTGGTGCCTGCCTGTAATTCCAATTCTCTGGGAAGCCAATGCAGGGCATCACAAGTTTGAGCTATCATGGGCAGTTTAATTATTTAGCAAGACCCTGTCTCAAAATGAAAAAAATCAGAAAGGAACTAGCTGTGGTGGTACACGGCTATATCCCAGCACTCTGAGGGGCTGAGGTGGGGATTACAAATTGGAGCCATGCCTGGACAGTTTATCACGATTGTCCCCAAATTAAAAAGGTGTGTGTGTGCTGAGGATGCAACTCCATGCAGAGGTACTTAGTTCAGTCCCCAGTGCCGGGAAAAAAATAAGTTAAAATTAAGAAGGGTACCCTGTAACAACTCCGGTTTCGGGGAGAGGCCGTTGTTCTGCTTCTGCTTTTACTCCAGTTTCTACACCCAGTTCTAAGACCCCAGTGCTGTCCGTGTGAAGGATGGGGTTTGGCTCCCATTGCTCCTCTCTTTTTTTTTTGGTATGGGAGATCAAACTCGGGACCTTGGGCTTGTGAGACAGGCAGTGGCACCACTGCTCCTCTTAAAGCACAGGGTGCTCCAGAACTTCATCTTTGACATCACAGAGGAGGAGGAAAATGGGAAAAGGCCCAAGACTCTTATCTATCCTGGGCTTCTTGAGCTAGCAAGAGCCTGTCATGCCCTGCCTACTTCCTGTACAGAGTTACTGCATGTTTCTGGCTGGTAAATGGTGGTCTGGGGCAGGGTTCCCCTGGGTTTGTCTCAGGGCCTGGCTTCTTTCCTGGGACCCTGGGAGGTTCTCAGTCCTGTGCATGTGTCTTGGCTGTGCAGAAGCAGGGGCTGCTTTGTTGCACTGTCTTCCTGTTGGCCCACAATGTCTTCTGAGTGAATGATAGTCACACTACTTTCAAGGGCCAACCAGAAAAACCTTTCTGGACAGTCACATGTGCCTTCACAGGCTGGGAGAAGGCTGTCCCTGCTCTGGTCGAGAGGTGCCTTCCCCAGTGTCTCCACATTTGCTTCCTCTTGGTCAGACCTTAAGGGGGTGAGACCTACCAGAAGGACTGGCACTGAGAGGACTGGACATCCAAGAGGCTCTGCCCTTTGGTTTTTTTTTCTGCCTTAACAGGAGTAAGCAAACTCCAAGAAACCTGAGTGGATAGGCACTGAGGCAATGGTCTCGTCATCCAAGGCCTCTTGCTATTTATCAAGGCCTGTACTATGCCCACCTTACGCAGATCCTCGCCAAGCCCTGCCTAGCCTTGATTTCCAAATGCTGGAAGTGCAGCACCTGAAGTCCCCTCTGGGTCCAAGGCGTGTGCTCACTGACCAGCAGCTGGGGGCAGTGATGGCTGTGGCCATGGTGCCAGCCCTGTGTTCTCGCAGGAAGGGGCGGGGACTTCACTGGGACTTTGCTCCTTGGTTCCTCCTTGTGCCTGAGGTCTGGCCCAGAGGAAGGCTGTGAGGCGCCTTTGCCATCCTTCTGTGCTCCTGTCTCCCTGCGAGTCACCTCAGTGCCTGGCAAGTGTGTTCTGACCTGTGTGAAGCCCTGTGGGCATGCGCTTGGGCAGGAAGTATGCTGGGTGCCTCTGGGCTGTGCTTGGATGAAGGGCGGCAATGCTGCAGGGAGGTAGGGTGGAGAGTCCTGGGGTGGGGGCCCGGCAGCTTGCCAGCTCTGCTGTTACCCCTGCTGTCCAGGCCTGTCCCGGCCTCAGTCCTGCTGACTTTGTGGATTAATGGGGGCTCCTTCCTTTGGGAGCCCTGTGAACTTGGAAGGCAGAGAGTCCTTGTGTCTTCCCAGAATATAATTGACAAGCACAGAGTGTGGAAGAGTACGGGGTGTGTGGGACAGAGGGTGGGCCTGATGGGCCCAGTCTGTGCTGCCCTCGGGAGCCCATCTTTGGCAACCTATCCCTGTCCTCAGTTCTGAGAAAGACCCATTCATGGAAGGGACATTGATTATGTTTTGGACACATAAGACTTGATCACACACATCATATACAGTACCTGCTGATTTGGTAAATTTCATCTCAAGACACCCAAGGAAAATCTAGTAAGTTACAGTCATCCCTCAGTATTTGGGGGGGACTTGTTCCAAGACCCTCATGATACCAAAATCTTCATGGGTCCTCAAGTCCTTTGTATAACATGACATAGTACTTGCATATAACCTGTGCATATCCTCCTGTTTTTAGGTCACTTACGATACCTAACCCAGATAAATATCATATTATTAAGGAAACCGTGGTAAAAAAGACTAACTCAGTGGTAGAGCACTTTCCCAGCACTGGACGTCCAGTTCAATGCCCAGTACTGAATGAATGAGTGCATGAATGGGTAAAGAAGAAAGGCTGTACATATCCAGTACAGATACGGCTCCGCTCTCCCATATTCTGACCTGGTTGGTTGAACCCATAGATGCAGAGCCACCTGTCCACATTTGTCTTTTCAGGGGCAGAGAGTACTTCTGAAACTGGCTCCTCAAGAATTTCTTTCCTGAGCCTTGAGGCCTTCTGTACCTTGTTAACCATCAGCATAGCCCAGTCAGAGTCCTGGGCTGTGGGGGGCAGGTACTACATAGTGTGGTCTCAGTGTTAGGGAAAAGCACCTTTGATGACAGAATTGCTTTGTCCTCAGAGTTGAAGAAAACCTCAGCCCCAGCAACACGGAGGGGTTCCCCAGTAATCTTAAGGGTCCGTTTGTCTCTCAGCCTATAAGGCGAGGAGGGTGCCCAACATGGGCCCGGCAGCAGATTGGTCTGTGGTTTGAGTCCTGGGTTTGGGCCACCAAGAGGGGTGGTGCTTTGTTGGCCCCAGGATGCTGGGGCTGTGATTGTTTGGATTGTCACTGACGTGCTTTTGTTTTGTTTTTTGTTTTTTTCCTCCTTCCTCTGTCTGGGCTCCTCCTCACTGTTTTCTCTTTTTCCCCATGTCTCCCTTCCCCGGTCCTGTCATCTTGTCCTCTGCCCTCCTGCCTCATCTTGGCTTCTCTCTGTGTTGTCTCAGCTGGAGGTTCTGCACTACAGACTCAGTGTCTCCAGCGCCCTCCACAGCCCTGCCCAACCCAGCCTTCAAGCCCTCCACGCCTACCAAGTACTGGCTGCTCTCCTTTCCTCCCCTTCCTGGCCCCACAGTGGGAGCACAGAGTGCTTGTCAGTGCAGTGGCGCAGTGAGGGTCTGGCTGAGGCCTGCTGCAGGTGGTAGAGAGGCTGGTTCTGAGCTGCGCAGTGTGTAGGTCCAGGAAACCTGTAGAATCTTAGAGCCAAGTGAGAGCAGGCAGTGACATCATGGAAACAGTTCTGCAACAAGTGTGTGAAAAGGAGTTCAGACTTGGGTATTTCAGGGACGGTGACGTTAGCTGTTTTGTGAGAAAAGGCTGAGCCATGGGCACACCTCGGTCGTCTTGGCTGTGAAGGAGCACATGACAGCTGTGTTTGAATTTGAGCCAAGATGGCAAATCGTGGTGTGGAATGGGACGGTGACGTCAGTGGAGCTCACAGTGGAGACCCTGTTGAGAAGCAGCAGCTACGCTGAAGAGGGAGGAGAGGCTCCCTGGGAGGACCAAGTGCTGAGCAAGCTGGGCTCAATCTGGATTCAGCCTCCACTAAGCCTAAGTAGCCTCAGAACTGAGAGTCCTTGAGAGGCTGGGCCCAGTGGGAAATGCTGTGGGGTTTGGGGACATGTCCTTAAACTTTTAAAACTGTCTGTGCTGGGGACTGAATCTAGGGCTTTCTACATAGTAAGCAAGTGCTATACCACCAAGCTATATCTTAGGCCCCTGGGACACTTTAAAAAGTGAGCCAGTGATAGGGGCTGGGGATGTGGCCCAGTGGTAAGAGTCTTTGTCTAGCATGTGTGAGGCCCTGGATTGTGGCCCCGGCCCTGGTGGAAGACGCCAAGTGCAAATGTGGCCCCAGATTCTGTGTAGGAGTTTTGGCTTAGGAAGAGAAGAGAGTTGGGAGAGAACTTTGGCTTAGCAAATGTAGCATAAAAATAAAGTAGAAGGCTCCAAAGTTGGTGTGTGTGTGTGTGTGTGTGTGTGTGTGTGTGTGTGTGTGTGAGAATCTGGCCCTGTTACTCTTCTGGTCTTTTAGTAGTATTATTAATGTTACTACTGTATGTTTTAGTTTGTTTCTGTTGCTAAACACAGTACCACAGGCTGGTAAGTTACAGAGAGGTTCATTTTGGCTTATAGTTCCGGTCCGAGGTCTGCAGTGGTCACGAACCTAGGGCAACGTGCTGCAGCGGGCTTTTGGTATCATTGAAAGCTCTAAAAGGTTCGCTGCCACGGGTGTAGGGCTGCATCTGATGATTGATTGCTTTATCGCTCACAGTTCAGAGTCCTGAAATGGCATAGGGCGTCATCATGTGGCAGGAGGCAGGGAGCGTGAAAGAGACTTAGCTTTCACAGCTGACCACCTCCGAATGACCCATTACTTCATTAGTTGAATGATTGGATTAATCCATTTCATTTGTGAAGGCAGAACCCTAGGTGGTTGTTAAAGGTCTTGCTTGGTGCTACCTCTTAATATCTTGTAATGAAGATTAAAGTTCAGCATGAGTTTTCCCCAGGACAAGCTACATCATTGTATTTTATACTTAATAAGCAGAGGAAATTAACCTCCCACCCACAGTTCCAGCTTTATATTAGGTCAGTGATGGTATTGGCTGGATGTGTGGGGGCATTTTCATGACAGGGAGGCCTGAGGCCAGGTCATCACGGCCGGACCCTGTGCCAGGCCATTGCAAGTTGTTTGAAACCCGGAAGGCTGGCGATGCATGTAGGGTCCTTGCCTTCAATGTCCGCTGCCTCTCCCACACACTCCCAGTCCACTTCCAAGGCTCCACTGAGCCCACCTTCACTTGAGTGCTGAACAGCTGAGGGGACCCCTGCGGCCAGCAGAAAGGCTTTCCTCGCCTCCAAGATCCTGTGTATTCTGAGTGAGAAGTTCAGGTTACCCTTGTCCTGAGGATTTTGGCTGACTGGCAGGAGAGGACTCGTCTGGGGCTGAGTCCCTGTCTAGCTCTGACTAGGAGAGGAAGCAGGTAGGGCAGTCTGGGTTGTGGCCAGAGAATGAGCTGGGGAGAAAGGAGAAGTTCCCACCACTAAAAGGTGAGCCATGAGCTTTCTGTACACGCCCAGGAGGCAGTCGGGTGACCCGGGTCCAGCGCTCTGGGGGGCTGCCCCTGTGCCTGATCTGCTGGCTGGCTAGGAGGTAGGGACCCCTGAGGCTAGCACGGGCAGCAGTGTGTTGGGGCACACGGGCACATGTTACAGCAGTGGGATTTTTGGTGCACTGGAGAGCACTTTACAGTGTGTCTTTCAGCTGGCCCTCCCTAGAGCAGACTGGCCGTGAGCTGGGCCACGTGCTTTACTGCTACCAGTAACGTGTGAGACTCATCCGCTGAGTATCGGGCACAGTGGGATCCCAGGGGTGGCCCCGTTCCTGTCTTGCGCCTCCAATGGGGTAGCAGAGTGGCCAGCCGAGGGGCAGGATCTGCCCATGGTCCCTGGGTCCTGACGGCCTCTTTCCCCACTGTAGGAGTCATTCGCACCCTCCGAGGAGCACGTGCTAGTGGTGCGTCTGTTGCTGAAGCACCTGCACGCCTTTGCCAACAGCCTGAAGCCTGAGCAGGCCTCGCCCTCCGCCCACTCCCATGCCACCAGCCCCTTGGAGGAGTTCAAACGGTGGGTGCAGGCTGGCGGGGCTCTCTCGGCTTCCGGCTTCACACCATATCGCCCACCGTGACCTTTATCAAGACATGGGGTGGGACGAGGCAGCCCTTCCTGCTGAGGGCATGGAGGCCTCAGCTGGGCTAAGCAGGTGGCAGATGCCCTGAGCCCAGGGTGGTCTCTCTCAGACTGCTCTGCTCCAGAGCTGCTGGGGCTGCCCCACTGCTTCTGTTCCCACATCTTCCTCTCCATATCTGCCCTTTTCAGTGGCCAGAGAGAGACCCCTGTACCGGTGCTGCTTGTCCCTTCCTTCCCGTGTCAGGGGTGAAGTGAGAGGCTGCCCTGATGGCAACCTACACACCTGCCTGCCCCCCTCCACACCGCCTTCAGGAGACTGGGGCCAGCAGAGCAGATGACTGGTGTGGGGCGAGAAGTGTGTAGAAACATCATACTGGCTCAGCTGCCTGTGTGCTGTGTGTCCTCAGGATGTTCCCTGACCTCTCTGAACCTTGATTTCATTCTCTGAAAAATGGGACTAAAAACAGATCTTACCTCCAAAGGAGTCCTCAACACTCCTTGGTGGCAGCCAGTGACACCCCCACCCCACCCCCTGTAGGGCCGCTGTCCCGAGATTTGTCCAGCAGAAGCTCTACCTCTTCCTGCAGCACTGCTTTGGCCACTGGCCCCTGGATGCCTCCTTCAGAGCTGTAAGTTCTGGCACCCTTGTGCCATTGCTTTTTTTTTGCCCTCTTCTGAGGAAGGGAAGTAACGGTTACCTTCAGAGGCTATGGAAAGGAGGTCTCAGAAGGCCATTGTTCTGCTGGTGGGAGTTTCCAAGGCTGACTCCAGGGTGCAGAAAAGCCCGGCCACACCCTAGCCATCAGCACTGAGGAGGGTGTCCTCTGGCCTCCCCCCAGCTGCATTGGGCATGTTCACGAGTCTGGTTTTTGAAGGGCTGCTGTGAAGGGCAAATGTCTTTAATTTGAAGTTCTTGCTGTGCTCTCCTGGGGGGATGTGGGAGAAGCTGATCCCACCGGCATCTTTATGGCGGTCAGTCAGATGCCGGAACATGGTGGTGGCCCCCTACCCTTCCTTTCCTCCTCAGCTGCCCCTTGGGGGTCAGGCTGCACACCACCCAAGAATGTGGTAGAAAGAACCCCGGCCCCATAGCCACCAGGCCTTCAGGAGACACCTGTCCCTCACTAGGTCCTGGAAATGTGGCTGAGCTACCTCCAGCCATGGAGATATGCATCTGAGAAGCAGCCTCAGACCAATGACTCCCAGCCTCGGTGTGTGTTGGAGAAATGGTGAGGCCCTGGCCCCTCTTCCACTGGTTTCCGTGAGTGGGTGCGGTGTCAGTGGGCAGACAGCTAGGGGGGCCTTGTGCTTGGGTTGGCCTTTTCTGCCTCTGGTGGTCTACTGAGCTCTTTCCAAGTGCTATATGGGGCACACAGGTCAGCCTTTCCTGGACTGAGCTTTGAGCCCAGAAGGGATTTTTCTAAGGACATGAGGCGAGCCTCTGCCTGCCTCCTTGCCCTTCTCCTTCTGACTCAAATCAGTGTTCCAGGAAGACCCTGAAGCCTCCTGTCACCCTTCTTTACCAGCACAGAGCAGCACCTGGTTGCCTCCCACTTGCTCCTCACACCTGACCACTGCCCCCTCCAGGCCTCCACCAGAGGCCATGAAACATTCCTCTCCTGAACCCAAGGCTTCTCTTCACCCCCGTGCTATGTTTTCCCTCTGCACATCGGGCTTCAGGCCAACCTTATGGGTGGCTTTGTACCTCTTGGAAGGAGTCCCATTCTCGAGCACCACTGTCCTCAGAGGGCCTGGGCCTTACCTCCCCTGCACAGCTCTCTTCCCTGGCCACTGGAGCTGCTGTTCACGACACCTTCATAAGGTCTTGTCCAAGGAGTCTGGAAGCTCAGGGAAGCCGAGAGCTTTAGGGCTGAGGACCAGGCTCCAGCGGGTGGTCTTGACCTGCCATCCTGCCCCCCAGGACGCCGTTTGTCCAGGAGAACCTGCTGGTGTACACCAAGCTCTTTGTGGGCTTCCTGAACCGTGCACTCCGCACAGACCTGGTGAGCCCCAAGAATGCGCTGATGGTGTTCCGAGTGGCCAAAGTCTTTGCCCAGCCCAACCTGGCTGAAATGATCCAAAAAGGTAAATCGTCAGTCCTGGGCCAGCTGGATTGGGGCTAGGGCTGTCTTTGGCAGGAAGCAACACACAGAGACCAGGAAGGCTGTGTGCCTCATGGGCTTGCAGGTGGCTCTGCACAAGATTGGTTTGGGGAAGTCTCTGAGCCTGACTGAACCTGGCCTTCCCTGTGGCCACAGACTCCAGATGGAGGCCCTGTGTGCCTGACAGGGGTGGAGTGGAACTGCCCACTGTGTGTAGCTCCTCGTAGGGTGGGTCAGGAGATGGTCTTGGTCCCCGGCATGCTGTCATCTCCAGTTTCCTTTTGGTGCTGCCAGGGGCTCCTTGAGCTTCAGGAGCTGGTCCTCAGGCTGCCGGCCCTGCCCTCAGGCAGTATTCTGGAGCCCTCCAGGAGCACCAGCACTCCGGCCTGCAAAGCAGGAGTCAGACTCCAGTCCTGCCTTCCAGGTGAGCAGCTATTCCTGGAGCCGGAACTCGTCATCCCTCACCGCCAGCACCGGCTCTTCACAGCTCCTGCCGTCACTGGCAGTTTCCTGTCTCCATGGCCACCAGCCGTCACCGATGCCTCCTTCAAGGTGAAGAGCCATGTCTACAGCCTGGAGGGCCAGGACTGCAAGTACACCCCAATGTTTGGACCTGAGGTCCGGACGCTGGTGAGTGATCTGAGGTGCTGTCTGGCCTGGGGTCCCTACAGCTGTGGGAAGGCACCTGAGTTTCAGAAAAGGAAGGAGGTTGTATGTTGAGTAGACATACTGCTATATCTCCCTGTCTTTTTCCAGTAAAGACTTTTTTTTTTTTTTTCTGATAAGGCAGAGTTCGGAAATTTTTCACATTTAAGAGAGATCATCTATGTGACAGGTGTGGTGACATGTGCCTGAAATTCCATCATTTGGGAGGCTAAAACAGGAGGATCAGCAGTTCAAGGCCAGCCTGGACTATGTAGTGAGACCTTGTCTCAAAAACAGCCAGGCGTGGTGGCACACACCTGTAATCTCAGCGCTCAGGTGGCTCAGGCAGGAGGATCGCCACAAGTTCAAGGCTAGTCTGGGCTACATAGTGAGTTGAGGGCCAGCCTAAACATAAAGCAAGACCCTGTCTCAAAAAACAGGGCTAAGGATTTAGCTCAGCGGTTCTGGGGCCTGCCTCGCAAGCCCAAGGTCCTGAGTTCGATCTTTGGTAACAAGACGAAACAAAATGGTCATCCATAAGTCTTATGGTGCCCCTCTTTTTTCTTTTTTTTTTGGTGGGAGGTGGTACTGGGGATCGAACTTGGACCCTTGTGCTTGCGAGGCAACCGGCGGCACCACTGAGCTAACTCCCCGGCCCAAGCTGCCCCTCTGGATCCCTCACCCATCTGGTTATAAACTCCTGACCCCGGGTGGCCCTGCGTAGACGACAGCACAGCCCTGCCTTACGGGTGCCGCTCACCCAAGCCCTCTGTCCCTGGTTCTCCCTCACAGGTGCTGCGCCTTGCTCAGCTCATTACACAAGCCAAGCAGACCGCCAGGTCCATCTCTGACCAGTGTGTGGAGAGCCCCTCTGGCCAGTCCTTCCTGTCATGGCTGGGCTTCTGCCCCACTGACCCAAACAGCTATTACCCAGCCAACGACCTGGACGAGCTGGGCCAGGACAGCGTCCGCAAGACAGATGAGTACCTCGAGAAGGCCCTGGAGTACCTGCGCCAGATATTCCGAGTAAGAGCCCTGGGGCTTGTCCCACGGCCAGCATGGTCCTCTCCCTGAGGGATTTGCTCCTCACCCAGCCTAGGGCCCATCCCAGGGCCCTCCTCCTGGGCCTTCATCTCATAGATGGGTTTGCACCTGAGGCCAGGAGGCTGTGGGATGAAGACCAGCTCCCATCCTTTACCCTTCACCTGAAATTGAAAGCACAGGTGTTTCTCTCTGACAGCTCAGTGAAGCCCAGCTTGCCCAGCTCACCCTCGCCCTGGGGACCACGCAGGCCGAAAATGGGAAGAAGCAGCTCCCAGACTGCATCGTGGGAGAGGACGGGCTCATCCTCACACCCCTGGGCCGCTACCAAGTAAGAGGCCTCTGTCATCCTGTGATTGTTCTCAGTTCCGTCCTGTCCCGGTGAGCAGAACCTGCTCTTCTGGGCTGTTGGCAAAGGTACATCCTCTGAAGTAAGATACACTGTCCTTGTGGCCTGGGTTTCTAGATCATCAATGGACTGCGGAGGTTTGAAATTGAGTACCAGGGGGACTCAGAGCTGCAGCCCATCCGGAGCTACGAGAACGCCAGGCTGGTCCGGGCACTCTTTCGCCTGTCATCCGCCATCAACCATACGGTGAGTAGGCCGTGGGGGAAGGGGACTGCCCGCTTCCAGGATGGTTCCAGGGGGTGCTCCTGGCCCAGGGCAGCAGCCCCACGCCTGCATCCTCTTTGCTGTGAGCTGTGGAAAGAGTCCCAATGGACGGTGACCCTGCGAGAGTTGCTCAAGTCCTGCGGTGGCCTGAGAGGGAGGGTGCTGTGTGGCCCTAAGACCCATGGCTCCTGCTGTCACCATCCCATTTGAAAAGTTTGTGCTCCAGTTTGCAGGCCAGATGGTCGCTCTGTGTTCCCGAGATGACTTCCTTGGCAGCTTCTGTCGCTACCACCTCATTGAGCCCACACTGGCCAACAGGCACCTGCTGAGCCCTGTGGGGCGGAGACAGGTGTCCAGTCACGCTCGGGGCCCCAGGCTCAGCCTGCGCTTCCTGGGCAGCTACCGGACACTCGTTTCCCTCTTGCTGGCCTTCATCGTGGCCTCTCTGCTGTGCATCAGACCCCTGCCCTGCACCCTGCTGCTTGTCCTGGGCTACCTCCTCTATGCCATGGCCATGACACTGCTGACAGAACGAGGAAAACTTCACCAGTCCTGACCGGGTGTCCATTGTCTAGAGAACTCCCCGGTGGGATTTGCTGCACTAGGCTGAGAGGCCCTGGCAGGCTGCTTCCAAGCCAGAGTGTGGTCACTGGACTCCTGGGGAGTGTTTTCCAGAAGAAAACGAAATGAGAAGAGGGGCTGACAGAGAAGGAGCAACATCAGAGGGCTCTGGAGCTACGCTGTGTGACAACCAGCTGGCCACAGCCATTCACTGTGCCAGCCCAAGGCCCTGCAAGCAGCCTAGCTAGTCTTGGAGGCCTTTATAACCCTTTGAAGATTTTTCCACTGTGGCTGCCCTTGAAATGGACAGAGAGGTTGTGACATCTTTCCCTGTGAGATGTCCCCGACAGTAGCTTAGCCTCCCCTCCTGGCCAGAATCCGTTTTTAAAAGAAATTCCTGAGAAAACTAGATAATGGCTCTCCCGACTCACTTTAAAGCGAAGGTTCGCTTTCGCATTCAGCAAAGCAAGGATGGTTCTCTTTTATGTTCTCACGGTGAGTCCAAAGCTGGGCTGAAGGCTGTACTTGTGAATTTCATGGAGACCCTCTCAGAGCACAGGCTCCTGCTTTACCTCTGGCCCCCAAGCCTCTGCGGTCTTGCACCACAAGCAAACACTGGTTGTTGCCAGGTAGAGGGCTGTAGCAGGGTCCTTCTGGCTTCCTTGCAACCAAAGACGGGCAGAAGCAGTATTTGCTCCTCCATAAACCAAGTGCTCAGAGAAGGTAACCTTTTCTGATAACACTGACAACTACACATTGACTGTCCAAAGAAGCCGAAATCATCACAGTCTCAGCTTTGTTCATCCTCCAGACGGTGCACCACCACAGAAGCATCTTGGTGGAGGTATTCAACCAAGCCTTTGTTTTTGGTGTGTGGGGGACTTTTTAAACTGTTGGGCCTTGTGCTTTGATGTAATCTCAGGATACATTTTGGAGCCCATGACCAAAAGTCAAACCGTAACCTGTAGCTTAACCATGGATCTGAGTAAACCTGTTCTTGCTTCAGAGTCTTGGCTGTCTAGGCTCAATCCCCAGCAGGTTCACCTGCACCGGGTCCCTCAGCACTCAGGAACTGCAGAAATTGCTGCTGGATGTCCTGATCTCCAACTCCCCCCGACCCCATGGACCACAAGCCTGTTCACTGGTGCTTTGGGGCTCAAAAACTCAATGCCTGGCTCAGCCCAGATGAGCAGTGGGCCAGCTTCTTCTGATCTCTGGGTCCTGTGCCTGGCCCGTCTGCAGCTTCCTCCTTGAAGCTGTCTTACGCTTGTGTGGGTCTCTGAGGGAGCCAAGCACCTCCCAGCTTAGCCAGGGGCATCCTTCCAGTTGTTTCTCCTGGCCTCTTGGCACCTCTAGTTCCCCACTTTTAAGCTTCCTCCATCAATCCCTTTAATTTGGAGGTGCAGAGTAACCAAACTCCCTTCCCTGCCTTATCAAGCCATTAAGTCCATAGGTTCCTGTTTGAGGTCTGACTAGAGCTCTCATAGAGCAAAAGTAGCTCATCCAAGAACTACTTTCCCGTTCAGGCATGGTGGTTACGTGCGTGTAATTCCACCTGTTTGCAAGGTTGAAGCAGGAGAATGATAAATTCAAGTCTAGCCTGGGCAGTATAGGAAAACCCTGTATCAAAATTTCAAAGGGGCTGGGGATGTGGCTCGGTGATAACAGCACTTGCCTAGTATTTCATGAGGCCCTGGGTTCAGTCCACGGTACTGAAAAACTTTACCCTCTGCCTTCATCCCCACCGAACACACACACACTCCAATGCTGGGGATTTAACCTAGGATCTTTTTACAGAGCTATACAGGTTCTTGCTAAATTGCCCAGGCTGGGCTCCAAATGTGATCCTTCCCAAGTAGCTGGGATTATAAGCTTGTGCCACTGGGCCTGCCTGAAAGTTGATTGCTTTGAACCTGTAACTATCTCCTATTCAAAAAATGAAGACGTACAGGCAGATGGTTCTTACGTGTTACATCGGGTGTATTCACCTAGTAGATCTGGCCACAGACCCCCGCCCCAAGCTCCTGTCCCCTGCACCTCGCCACACCCTTTATTCCCATGACAGTGTGGCAGTAGGCAAGGTCAGCCCTGGCAGCCTGCCTACTGGGTTTGCAGAGGTGGCAGTGACCTCGGGAATGGAGCTGGGCAGGCGGGCCAGGAAGCGGCCATCTATCTAGTTCAGCCACCCAAGGCTCCCGTGGACATCGCCCCAGCACCGCTGGTCTCCAGCATGTGGTGCCATAGCCCACACAGCTCGGGCTCAGTCGGATGCCGAAGCCGACCAGGTCAGCTCCCCGCAGGGGAACAAGGGTGAAGTGAATCCGGGTTGTGGGCTGGGCACTGGGTCCCAGGAGGGACGGCCCCATCCCTTCCCCTTTGTGTGACCCCAACTCTTGGTGGGCTTACATTAAGTCCAAAGAGGTCACAGGGCAGCAACACATTTCAGAGGGTTCACTCCACCAGCCCGCTCCTCCCTAAACAGCGGCAGGCCACCTCATTGGTAAGAAAGGTTTTACAGAAGTTAAATACAGAAGGCAGGGGATTTTGCTTAGTGGCACCACACCTGCCTGGCAAGCTCAAGGTCCTGGGTTCAATCCCTGGTACCCCCCTCAAAAAGTGTTAAATACAGGAAATTCAAGTGTATAGCTCAATGAATCGTCACCCACTGAACACCAGATCAAAAATGACCTTACCTGGGGACCCCGCCACCCTGTGGTCACAGCGTCCTTAGCCAGTGTCTTCCTAACTGGGCCAAACTTGCTGCAGAACTTCCGGCCCTCTGTGATAGGATTGTTCGTCACTCCCACCTCATGCTTTAGCTAGATCTCATCTGTTCCCTACTTACTTGTGCCCCTGCCTCAGTTTCTCCCTCCCAGATTTTTGTACTGCTTGCCTGGAGTGCCAAGGATGTGGTCACCGGACACCTACTGTGTCAGGACCTCCTTCACAATGCCCTCCAGAGGCTCACCCCATTGTGGCATGGTGTGACCCAGCCAGCCTGGGGCTGGGGTGAAGGTACCATGTGATCATCACATTGCCAATATTCACTATCTATGGCGGGGCACCTGGAGGGTTGGGTGGGCAGAGCGGGCTCCCTGCAAACATCAGCAATGTGGTAGCAGAGGACAGGGAACCACCAGGGGCATTTCTGGCCCAGGGCACCTGAGGCAAAGCTAAAGGGACCCGTGGGCAGAGCCGCATCATCAGCCAGAACTGTGGGGCTCAGAAGGAGGGTGTGAGCAGTACAGCTCAAGATGCTCTGAGGTGTGGGTTTGAAAATGAGGAAAGCGTGTGCTGGCTTATGGGTCTCCAGTACAAGCTACTCAGAAGCCATGGAAGAAAGGTGAAGACCCCTCAGTGCCCAACAGGAAGTTACCACCATCCACAGTGGCCACTCCACTCTGGTTGTGCCCACCGAACTATGCTCAGCCTGAGGAGACAGGATGGGGTGGAGTGTCCTTGCCCACGGAGCCCTGGCCTTGCCACACATCCCGTTGAATAAGGTGCAGAGAGCCTCTTCTCCCAATCTGCCTCTCCCAGGAGGATAGGCATCCTCACCAGTAGCAGCCCCTCCCCTGCCAATGACCACTGGGCTGTGGAGAATAAACCCATGCAGGCTAGGTCTTGGGCCTTTCATTCCATCCAAAAAGGACGCCAGCTGCCACCGATGTGGGTGTTTTGGAGCCTGCTGCAGGCACCATTTGTGGACACACCCTTCAGGCCCTCATCCATTGCTTTCAGCAGCCCCCTCAAGGAGGCGGTTCCCATCTCCCCTTTCCAGAGCGGGAAACCGAGACGGGATTCTCAGGTGCAAGTCACTGATCCCAGTGCACATGGGCAGTGATTCCAACATAGACGAGATCCGTGGCAGATACAGCACTTCAGCTCAGAACAGAGATACTATTTTCCCACTATTTCACTGCGCAGCATTTACAAATGCACATTAGAAATTATTACCTACATTATATTAACAAAGTCAAGGACAAAAACCATATGATCCTCTCAATAGATGCAGAAAAAGCATTTGATAAAATTCAACACCCATTCATGATAAAAACCCTGCAAAAAATTGGAATAGTTGGTCTATACCTCAATTTAATAAAGGCTATCTATGAAAAACCATCAGCCAACATCATATTAAATGGGCAAAAACTGAAAACCTTCATGTTAAAATCAGGAACAAGACAAGGATGCCCATTATCACAACTTCTCTTCAATATAGTTCTGGAAACATTAGCCACAGCAATTAGACAAGAGAAAGAAATTAAAGCAATAAAGATAGGAAAGGAAGAAGTTAAACTTTCATTATTTGCTGATGATATGATACTCTACACTGAAGATCCAAAAAA